TGTTTTAAATTCTTACTAATCATAACTCCCAGATCCCTTTCGCAATCCGACTTCGCAATCTCAACACCATCTAGCTCGTATCTTGTAACTCTATCATGACAATTAATCACCCAAACCAAAGCATATACATGTCCAATCCACGCTTGAAACAATCGAGGGACTCCACCTCCACCAAGACACGCGGAAACTGGTTCCACAAGTCAACAATCCTGTTACCAAACCATCATTTACCCATGTCTTTTCTAAATCCAAAACCTATCCAACTTATACCCATTGTTTCGCGTTCTGTCTCGCGCGTCTGGGATCATCCTGGACGTAGGTTTGAACCCTCATCACGGCCCTTGTGGATTTGTTCATTTGATGTGTCTTGTTGCTGGCGCTGCGATTGATAAATCCAAGTGTCCGATTTGCCTTATTGCGAACATTTGTGCATTGATCCTTTTGTTTTAAATTCTTACTAATCATAACTCCCAGATCCCTTTCGCAATCCGACTTCGCAATCACAACACCATCTAGCTCGTATCTTGTAACTCTATCATCATTACCTAACCTCAAAAGGATCAATGCGTAAATGTTCGTGGTGGGGCGGGTCGGACACTTGGATTTGTTGGTCGCAGCGTTGGTGACGGGACACCTGGTGTGGTTCTCGGGCTGTGTCTTGCTCTGGTTGGGCCCCGTTTGGATTGTGCAGTTCAGTTTTGGTCGCCATGTTGTGGAATGGATGTGGATTCGCTTGAACGTGTCCAGCGTGGGGTGACTGGGTTGGTTCCCCAAATTAGAAATCTTTCATGTGAAGAAAGATTGACGGGGCTTGGGTTGCGTTCACTGGAGGGGCGAGGAGTTGGGGGTGGCGTGGTGGAGGTTTGCAGGTGGGTGGGTGGACATAACCGGGGGGATATTAATAGGGTATTAAAAGTATCAACACAGGACAGAACACGAAACAATGGATATAAATTGGATAAGTTTAGATTTAGGAAAGACTTGGGTAAATACTGGTTCAGTAACAGGGTTGCTGATTTGTGGAACCAATTGCCGCGTAACATTGTGGAGGTGGGGTCCCTCGATTGTTTCAAGCACGGGTTGGACAATTATATGAGTGGGATTGGTTGGTTATAGAATAGGAGCTGCCTCGTATGGGCCAATAGGCCTTCTGCAGTTACCTTTCTTCTTATGTTCTTATGTTCTTATGTATCACGTTATTGTGATTTCTGTGTGTATCTAATAACACTACCGCTCCTTGCCAACCATCGTCTTCCTGATAAAGGTACGTCTTCCTGATAAAGGTATGGGAACTTTCCCATCAGTTATCAATCTGTAAATTTCTAAATAATTTTCTTTCTTTAATGAAGATCTGTGGAACCAGCTATAGCTTTTGGGATTATCTGTAGCGAGTAGATTATAAGAACATAAGAACATAAGAACAAAGGTAACTGCAGAAGGCCTATTGGCCCATACGAGGCAGCTCCTATTCTATAACCACCCAATCCCACTCATATACTTGTCCAACCCGTGCTTGAAACAATCGAGGGACCCCACCTCCACAATGTTACGCGGCAATTGGTTCCACAAATCAACAACCCTGTTACTGAACCAGTATTTACCCAAGTCTTTCCTAAATCTAAACTTATCCAATTTATATCCATTGTTTCGTGTTCTGTCCTGTGTTGATACTTTTAATACCCTATTAATATCCCCCCGGTTATGTCCATTCATCCACTTGTAAACCTCTATCATGTCACCCCTAACTCTTCGCCTTTCCAGTGAATGCAACTTAAGCTTTGTTAATCTTTCTTCATATGAAAGATTTCTAATTTGGGGAATTAACTTAGTCATCCTACGCTGGACACGTTCAAGTGAATTTATATCCATTCTATAATATGGCGACCAAAACTGAACTGCATAATCTAAATGGGGCCTAACTAGAGCAAGATATAGCTTGAGAACCACACCAGGTGTCTTGTTACTAATGCTGCGATTAATAAATCCAAGTGTCCGATTTGCCTTATTACGAACATTTATGCATTGATCCTTTTGTTTTAAATTCTTACTAATCATAACTCCCAGATCCCTTTCGCAATCCGACTTCGCAATCACAACACCATCTAGCTCGTATCTTGTAACTCTATCATCATTACCTAACCTCAGAACTTTACATTTATCAGCATTAAACTGCATCTGCCAATCCTTTGACCATTTCAAAACCCTATCTAGATCAACTTGAAGTGATAGTGAGTCCTCCTCCGAATTAATTTCCCTACCGATTTTCGTATCATCGGCAAATTTGCAAATGTTGCTACTCAAACCTGAATCTAAATCATTTATATATATTATAAACAACAGAGGTCCCAGGACAGAGCCTTGAGGCACTCCACTTACAACATTTTCCCACTCTGACTTGATTCCATTTATACTAACTCTCTGTTTCCTTTGGTATAGCCATGCCCTAATCCAGCTTAATATAGCACCCCCAATACCATGAGACTCTATTTTTTTAATCAGTCTTTCATGTGGCACTGTATCAAAAGCTTTGCTAAAGTCAAGGTATACAACATCGCAATCCTTACCACTATCAACTGCCTCAACAATGCTAGAATAAAAAGATAACAAATTTGTTAAACATGAACGGCCATTTATAAAACCATGTTGCGACTCAATTATTAATTTATGTTTTTCAAGATGAAGACGAATTTTATTTGCTATTATAGATTCGAGTAACTTTCCCACAATAGACGTTAGGCTAATTGGTCGATAGTTAGACGCAAGTGATCTATCTCCTTTCTTAAAAACTGGTATCACATTAGCAACTTTCCAAAACTCTGGCACTCTGCCTGAAATAATATACTTGCTCCAAACTCATTAGCGTAATGAGAGAACCAAAGCTCTCATTAGCACTAACTACGGAACTCAAACCTTTTTTTCTTCCTGCAGTTAAAATTTCTTCCAACCTTTGGAGGACGGTGAGGTGGTGTATGCATATAAGCAGCGCTAGAGAGGTGAGTAATTATCAGTCTACGTTGAAGTGGGGCTTAGAGCAGACGCTTAAGAACACGCTATTGCTCGCCAAGTGTCACTTACAAACTTCTGTTTACGTAAGTAATAAGTATAGAAAAGGTTTGAGTTATAATTAATGCTAATGAGAGCTTTGTTTCACTCATTAGACTTTGGAGCGAGTATATAATAATGTGTATGGGATAATCTATTCGCTACAAAGTATTAATGACAATTAAGAACTCAAAGGTTAGTTAAAAAAAACTTCAGGTAAATGACGAGGGGGAACATTTGATAAACCCTCGGCTTCCTGTCCCTTATCGAGGCCATATAGGTAGATAGTAGGCATATTCAGGTAAATGTAAACTTAATTTTATCTATAAGCTAGGCAGTTTAAACATATAAATTTTATTTGTCCACCATAATTATAATTATTTTATAATTTTGGTCATTATATTTATTAATATTATCATACTTAATAATAGTATAATAATACTATTATTATAATAATACTAGTATAATAATACTATTATTATAATAATACTAGTATAATAATACTATTATTATAATAATACTATTATTATAATAATACTATTATTATAATAATACTATTATTATAATAATACTATTATTATAATAATGCTATTATTATAATAATACTAGTATAATAATACTATTATTATATTAGTATAAGCATGTAGTGCTTATAATATTAGTATAAGCATGTAGTGAATGAGATGAGTGGCGGGGAGAGCGGGCAGCTGGGTGGCCGTCATTGTTTACAAGTGGCGCCAGGAGGAGGCTGCGTGCACCCACCTGCAAGGTTTGTTCTCGCTGGGTGTCCTCCTCTTGCTGTCTTCTTGCACTGCTCTTACTCACGGGTTCTTCTTGGTTTGTTCTCCATTTACTGTTTTATTAAACAAATATTAACATATTTATTGTTAAATATTTAACAATTGCTGGCGGGTTTGGCTCCACTAGGCTGCAATATAAACATTTGCTGGCAAATGTTTAATTTAGATTGTATTGTATGTATACGTCTATACTAATCGCCGTTGACATCAGAGGCATCATTATTTGGTTGTGTACATTGTGTTGTATAAATTTGCTCCATAATCAGATAATTTTGTAATTCATTGTGTTGTGGGGACAGGAAGCCAGAGTTGCTTACACACTTCTATAACTTAATAGTAATTGGGATTAAAGTATAATCTCTAAAAAAAAGAGTATAAATTATATAAAGTATAACGCATACTTTAGGCTTATATCAAGGTCATCCCCCCCTTGATACGTACTACGTATCACACTCTACCTTAATGACTGTATTATTAACTCGTCCAGATCTCACCAATGGTGTCTGTGTCCAGGGATCCAATATCTTTAATTATCCTAATTGCTCGACAAAAATCAGCAATCAAGACAACAAGATCCAGTTTCAGTCTCTAAAATTTATTTTACCCGAGAGCCATCACTAATGGCCCTCAGGTAAATATCTGGGGTTGATATCACACCAGAAGATATAAATTAGCAACCCATCCATCACTTTCCTGTAAAACCTCTGTGGCTCTATCATAGAAACAAAGTAAATTTGTTTCTCAGGATTTTCCAGATCATAAATCATACTGTCTGTTATATAGTTTTTCTCCAGGTGTTCTACCCATTTAGTTTTAATTATTTTGGTGGGCTTGAGTGTTAGTGTAAATGAGCTCATGCTGGTTTCAAGAGATTCAGTTGTTTGTTTACATTGTTTGGGGGGAGTTCATTTGGCAGTTTTGAAACTTGGATCTCTTTGAACCCAGCAGTAGTCTGTACTGGTCAGGGCAATGGAAGCAGTAGTTCACTGACAATGAATGCTTTTCTGATGGGGGTGACAGCTGATGCAACCTAGTAGATGGGAGCCAGTGAGATTGCTTCAGGGAGCCATAAAGAGCTTTCCCAGAAATAAATGTCAAATTTATACACAGTAGTTAAATTTACCAAAATATTTTTCAGATTTCCAAATTATATTCGACTAGCAGACATGGGTCGTCGCAAGTCAAAGAGAAAGCCACCTCCAAAGAGGAAGAATATTGAACCACTGGATACGCAATTTAATTGTCCATTCTGTAATCACGAAAAGTCATGTGAAGTTAAAATGTAAGTACTGCATAGTATTTGTATCTTCCAGTTGAAGGTAATATTTACTGCTTACCAATAGGAATTTTTCATTAATAAATTTATGGTCAACTTCAATTTATATACTTTATTATTTGATTTTATATTTTATAAACGTTTACAAAATTTCCTGAGCACTTAGCAGAGAGATATTCCTCATAGGCACTGACATTTGGGGAAATTCTTGCACATATGTTTTGGATGTATCAGCACCATGTATAATTTCTCCATTTTTTTCAGGAATAAACCAAGGAATGCTGGAAGAGTTTCATGCCTTGTGTGTCTGGAAGACTTCCAGTGTACTATTAACTACCTCTCGGAACCTGTTGATGTTTACAATGAATGGATTGATGCTTGTGAAACTGCAAACTGATCGATTCAGTTTGTGCAATTTTTTTTATGTTCATCTTAATTATGAAATACTGTAGTTGAGTTATACAATAGACTTGTTATAGAAATAAAGGAATTACTTGTCTGATTTTTCGAATTTCATGTGTATTGAGAATATAGCCTCATGTTTAGTATTGTCTAATTACAATATTTTATGAATGAGTGGAATAGATATTTCTATGAAAACTGTAAGTTTCAAAACTGGAGGGTACTGTAGTTACATACAGTCTCACTGGCTGTATAAGATACACGATTTTAGTAATGTCAAAATACAAACTGTACATAGACATATCTTTACATTATAATGATTAAATGTACAGTATTTTTTTCATGCATACTGTAATGTAATACAGTAGTTTGTAAATTTGGCCATTACATTCATGTTTTCTTAACCCATTTAACCACAAATATTTGGGGGTTCTCACTTAGTCACATTATTCAATATGAATATACATTTCCATGCATTGAACATTTAAACAGTTTATATTATCTAAACAATGTGTCATACTGACATAAATCAAGATGTTAATAATAATGTTGCAACAGCTGACAAGCATTTAGATTAACTATCTTGTTTATAAGCTCATTTGCTCTTCACATGCACCCTTTCCCCACACTGTTTATGATTTATGAAAAGTTGTTTTGAGTTCATGTCCTAGTTTATGGTGTTTATTTTCAGTTGTCTGCTGATCTTTCTCTCTTAATTTATCTGTCCTCTCTACTATAATTTAATATACTGTATATATTTTTTCCCTCCACCTCACCTTAGTTCTGAACTGTATTCCTTGTAAAAAAATAATTTACAAATCCACAAGGACCGTGACGAGGATTCGAACCTACATTTGAGATCCTCCCAGACGTGCTTTTACCAACTGAGCTATGACCTAGTTCAATCTCGGATGTAGGTTCCCTTGTGGATTTGTTCATTTGATGCATCACATTTTTGTGATTTGTTTGTAATAATATAAATAATTTTTTTTAGAATTATCCCTTCACTCATGCTAATGTTACGGTTATCCCTTCACTCATGCTAATGTTACACATGTTGTTATCTCCATTTCTTGATCATCTCAGTTGTGTAGAATTCAAGCAGCTTAATACATTACAGTATTATCTTTCAACAACAATTAAATGTTTTTCTAAATTCATTTTGCACCCAGCAAAAGTTTGTCAAGCAAAAAAAACATTTAGGTCAGATCTCAATCAGTCATCTTAAATCTTACGCCCTTAAGATTTTTACAACTTTATCATAACATATTCTCACTGTTTTCTGATCAGTTCTATTGTCACTACCAGTGAACAGATACTGTACTTGGTATTGCCATGTTTGAGGTACAGTAATGGCTTTCAGAAAGTAACATAATCATATCGTAATGGCCAACATTGCTGATTTTAATTACATTATTGGCTAAAATTAGATTAAATGACCTATTATCTAGAGGAGTCATGCTTATTAGGTTAGTAATCTTGTTTTTGTCTGTTCTCGGGCTATTAATTTTTTAAAAATTTTATTTAGCAATAATGGCTAATCCTCCTCATTTTAAATATGTCACATTTTGTTGTATAGCTTTTGCATTTGGTTTAGCACGTGTTAAACACGTGTACAATTTTATTTAATGTGACAGCTTTTACTTGTCTTAATTAATCTCCAGTTGTCGCATAACCCTTAACCATTGTATATATCTTAATTAGGTTCCATTGTCTTAAAGAATGTAAAGTTGGATGATTTGTGAAAATCTGGTTTGGCAATATTTAACAGAAGTAAATGTGCATTTTGTATAAATGGCTGTAATGCTTATATGTGTATTGTAATGATCTACTAGTTCTGTCAATAGTAGATCAAACCAAAGCATTTTGATTCAGGTTGCCAAAGGGAAAATACATTTTATTTTATCAAATTTAAATACTGTCGCATTGGTGGCAAATAAAGTACCTGTATGGTATACAGGAATTATATGATTTACATTCTTGCAAGGAGTAAAATTAAATGCACCTTGAGAATATGGGCATTATCTTTACATGCAAGTGAGTTTTCAAATACAAAATTATTATTTATAAATACATTGGGTTTAATTAACCTAAATTGAAGGCCTGTTATCCAGGGATTGGTGAAAAAGTTACTGGTGGCCATGTATTGCTGCCTACGTTAGCAACCATGGTAGTTTTAGTCTTGTTGCTGTCTTATCACCGTTAAATTTTTACTGTTCCACTGAAGTGAGATGGCTCGCATACAGTGGTTCCCACTTTACTATAAATCCTCATTCATTGCAGTGTCATCTGCAAATTTGATGACGTAGTTTGTAATATTCTCATCATGTCATTGATGTATATGATTTTGTTTGCCCCATACTGAACCCTTGCAGTACCCCATCTTGGGATTATTTCGGGGCTTGGCGTCTCCATGGCCCGGTCCTCACCCAGGCCTGGCTCCTACTAACATTTCCATTAAGAACAAAAAGAACAGCCTGTTGCTTTCTTTATTTTATATACTAGTATTCCATCATTTATTCAATGTGCCTAATTTTTTTGCTAGTCGATCATGTGGTACCTTCTCATAAGCTTCAGCAAGGACTATGTATACTACATATACTGGGAGTCCTTTGCCTGAATAGCCGGTCACCGTTTCCAAAAATGTGAGGAAGTTTGTAAGGAAGGATCTGTTTTTAACAAACCTATGTAGAGTTGATTTTATTAGATTGTTCACCGAGAAGGTGAATGATTCCCTCTTAAGATTCCTATCCATGAGCTTGCAAATGTGTGATGTCAAACTGCCCATTGGTTAAGGGGCAGTTAGCCAGGTAGGTAATAGCCGGTCACCGTTTCCAAAAATGTGAGGAAGTTTGTAAGGAAGGATCTGTTTTTAACAAATCTATGTAGAGTTGATTTTATTAGATTGTTCACCGAGAAGGTGAATGATTCCCTCATAAGATTCCTATCCATGAGCTTGCAAATGTGTGATGTCAAACTGCCCATTGGTTAAGGGGCAGTTGGCCAAGCAGGTCTCTGAATGCACTGTTGTACCCAGCAGTGAATGGATTGTTAAACGATTCGTTTGACTTTTCCATGGAAAATAAAGATTAGAGACCTGCCTGGAATGCTGTGCTTCTGGTTTTACAAGAATGAGAGAACCATGTATATATATATATATATATAATGAGAGAACCATATATATATATATATATATATATATATATATGGTTCTCTCATTATATATATATATATATATACATATATATATATATAACTGAAAACTCACACCCCAGAAGTGACTCGAACCCATACTCCCAGAAGCAACGCAACTGGTATGTACAAGACGCCTTAATCCACTTGACCATCACGACCGGACAAAATGAGGTGATAGCCGAGGCTATTTGAACCACCCCACCGCCGGCACTCGGATAGTAATCTTGGGCATAGCATTTTACCAAATCACCTCATTCTTTGGGGCACACGTGAGGAACACAAATGCGAACAAGCCTGAATGGTCCCCAGGACAATATGCAACTGAAAACTCACACCCCAGAAGTGACTCGAACCCATACTCCCAGAAGCAACGCAACTGGTATGTACAAGACGCCTTAATCCACTTGACCATCACGACCGGACAAAATGAGGTGATAGCCGAGGCTATTTGAACCACCCCACCGCCGGCACTCGGATAGTAATCTTGGGCATAGCATTTTACCAAATCACCTCATTCTTTGGGGCACACGTGAGGAACACAAATGCGAACAAGCCTGAATGGTCCCCAGGACAATATGCAACTGAAAACTCACACCCCAGAAGTGACTCGAACCCATACTCCCAGAAGCAACGCAACTGGTATGTACAAGACGCCTTAATCCACTTGACCATCACGACCGGACAAAATGAGGTGATAGCCGAGGCTATTTGAACCACCCCACCGCCGGCACTCGGATAGTAATCTTGGGCATAGCATTTTACCAAATCACCTCATTCTTTGGGGCACACGTGAGGAACACAAATGCGAACAAGCCTGAATGGTCCCCAGGACAATATGCAACTGAAAACTCACACCCCAGAAGTGACTCGAACCCATACTCCCAGAAGCAACGCAACTGGTATGTACAAGACGCCTTAATCCACTTGACCATCACGACCGGACAAAATGAGGTGATAGCCGAGGCTATTTGAACCACCCCACCGCCGGCACTC